AAAAAAAAAAAAAAAAAAAAAAAAAGACACTGTCTCAAATAAAAAATAAAAAAAGAAAGAAAGACAAAAGAGTGCCTTAATCTCTGTGGTCCCAAAATCAGGCTCAGGAAAGGAAAGTAACGTTCAAGATTTATCAGCTGTGCAGGGCCCCACCTACACAGACAGTGGTTTGAGTACCAAGCCTGTACTTGGGCCCTGATCAGATGCTGGCCTCTACTCCCTCAAACTAGTTCTTGCCTACTTCTGGCTTCCAGCCCTGGACAGGCCATGCTCTGACCAAGCTCTAATTTGGGACATGTAATCCCTATTTGTAACCTATCAGTGGAGCCAAAGTTTCTGGTCACTGGGGCTGAAGGTAATAGGACTTTGGCTCACCTGTTATGATCACATCATCAGGAACAAGTAGCACTTGTGTTTCTGCGCAGCAGCCCTTGCAGCGGGCACCCTGCACGGCCCCTGCTCCTGAGGCTCTGTTGGGGGCTCTGTCGTTTCAGTGCTCCTCACATGGGTCAACTGTTCCAGCGTGCGATGGGCCACCCGGGTTCAGGATGTCTTTACAGCTGGGAAGCTTCTTGCTCTGGCCCTGATCATCGTCATGGGGGTTGTACAGATATGCAAAGGTGAGCAAGAACAGGGCCCCACACGACTTTCCACCTCTTGCACATCTGGGCCCTGAGATTTCCTGGTTCTGCCATTGAAAGAGCTCCTCTTCACTTGCTTGTCAAAGGGGAAGAGAAACCATATTAATCAGGGTGGCTGAGGGTAAGGAATCTCCCCCAAAGCTTGCCAAGTTTTGTCTAATCATGCTCCGCTCTTGGCTATAAAACAGCTAAGTAAAGAACGTGGACCTCTGGATTCTATTGCCATTTTGCCTCAAACTTAGGGAAGCTCTGGACATCTATCATACCTTGTCCATATCTGAAAGTGGAGAACAGGAGGAGAATTTTCTGTTTCTAAATTACTCATCTCTGCAAGAGAGTGCTCTACATTCCTGGGGCCCCTGCCAACATTCTCCACTGGATTTGGTCTTTTCCAAGCCTAAGCCTGTATTTGGTTTCCATGGAACCCATTGCACACTAGGTTCTGCTCAGCATCACTGCCTCACAGGGAAAATCAGATGAGAGAGAGGGAGGATGGGAGGGAATCTTCCACCTGCCATTGAACCCTGAGGTTGAATGTTTTGTTTGGGAAACAAGTTTCTTCCCTATAAAGTGCCTCCTTATTTTAATCCATTGGATTAAGTCAATTATTAGGTTATATTGTTTCAGGAAATTAAAGAAGTCATTGTACTCTCTTTTCAGAGATAGTGAGTTTCTCCTAATCTGGTCTCAATTCTTTTTCCCTAATCACACTAATCTCCTTACTTCCTGTCCAAACACTTGGTTACAGATGAATAAATAGCAGTGTTAGTTACACTCCTGTCTCATTGCAATCTCAGCAAGTTCCCCATCCAGTCTTTGAATTATCCTCCAGTAGTGCCAGGGACGGAACCCAGGGCCTCACAGGCGAGACCGTTGCTCTACCACTGAGCTGCACTTGCTGCCCCAGCACCCTGTTTTGAGGACCCACTGTGTGCCAGACCCTGTACTGTGTGCTGAGGATGTCAAGGCTCTTTACTAAGGGACTCTGAAGAGAGAGGCCACACACACACACACACACACACACACACACACACACACACACCTGAAAGGAAATAGGTCATAGACAAAGCAAGCAAAAAACTAAAATTAATATAACATAGAAGCTTCTATTTGAATGTGTTGTTCTTAGTGCTTTTTTAATAGAAATGCATGAATTTAAAATCAGGGAAGGTGGTCAGGAGACTGCAAATGGCTGTAGTCCTGCATTTCCAAAGCCCAACAAGCAAGCCTCTCATGTATCAAGGGGCTTCCTTCTCAGGAACTTTGTCCTTTAAAAAAGGAACACTGCCACGTATAGGAGACTTGTAACCTCAATTAATGTAAACATTATATGCTATGCCATGAACCAAGATAAATAGTATCAACAAGAATAAAAAATAGGGATCTAAAAAGAGAAAGAAAAGAAATAAGCTTTATACATATATGAACCACTTCCCAAGATGACCATAAACTGCATGAATTCCAAATATGTACTAATAAAGTTTTAAAAAAATAAAGGAACATTCCAGTACTGTGCTGTGAACTTGAACCCCCCCCCCCAACATCGGACTCAGGGTTACCAGGTACCGGGAGGTCCCTTGCTGTGGGTTTCCCTGCCTCATTTAGTTTTGCTTTTCAGTAGGATGGGTTCACTGGAGACCAAACAAAGAGCTGGCAGGGAGGGAAATGCTGGGTCTAGACTCCGTTCTTTGAGCAGCATCCTGCCCATTGTGTCCACAGGAGAATACTTCTGGCTGGAGCCAAAGAATGCCTTTGAAAATTTCCAAGAACCCGACATTGGCCTCATCGCACTGGCTTTCCTTCAGGGCTCCTTTGCCTATGGTGGCTGGAACTTTCTTAATTATGTGACTGAAGAACTTGTTGACCCCTACAAGTGAGTTGAAGTAGCCGGGTACTTCCCCTCACTCTTGAAAGCCCATGACACCTCCTGCTCGAAACGGAAGCAGGTGTGCTCTACCCACTTCTCACCCCCATTCTGACCTTGCTTTGGTCTCTCCTGAAGTAATAGTTCATTTCTCAGGAACTTAAAACATTTACCATCTACTCTACCAGGAGGGGAGAAAGGGTCCTGTGACTGTCCCAAAGCAGGTTAAAAGCTGAAAACTGCTGGATAACACCACTGCCTTAGCAAGTGACCTGTGTCCCACAAGGCCTCTGGGCATCCTGGTTGCAGGACAGGTCAGCTCTTGTGTCTTGGGGCAGATAGAAAAGTACATGGTAGAGATCTAGGTCAAAAGACATCAGCAGGTGTGGAGGATGTTTCCAGCCTAATCTGTTTCATTGTCTTTGAGTTTTCCTGCCCTGATTAGCTAAAGCCCACCTCCCAGGTAGAGGAAGCACCCTTCAGCTACAAGGCTAAGCCTCATGCAGACCCCATGGCAAAGCAGAGTCCTGCACACAGGCCTCCTTCTCACCTCCTCTCCCTCTACAGGAACCTTCCCAGAGCCATCTTCATCTCCATCCCACTGGTCACATTTGTGTATGTCTTTGCCAATGTCGCGTATGTCACTGCAATGTCCCCCCAGGAGCTGCTGGCATCAAACGCAGTCGCTGTGGTAAGAAATCAAACCCAGAATGCTGACATAGTTTTGCCCATTTAGACCACTCAGTTTACCCTGATCCATGGGTCTGTGAGATTGGAAATCATCCCCCAAGTCCACAGTGCAGAATCCATGTGTGTCCTCAACTGGGACTCTCCAGTACCCAGGAGCAAACTGACAGCTGGGCTGTACCCAAGGCGGCTGCCATGCAGAGCCGAGTGGTTGCCACTGAGTCTATATAGCCTGAAGATGGAATATGTAGTATCTGAGCCTTCACAGAACTAGTGTGCTGGCCGCTGATCTAAGGCACTTTAATCTCTTAACTATGAGGCTAGTCTACAGGAGACAGCCGCTCCTCCCAAAGATAAAACCTCGTATGGGGCACACCGCTTCTCTCTGCCTCTGTTTCCTGTCTGGGAAGTGAGAAGCTGACTGCTCATCAGGGAAAAGTGGATGCTGGTACGCAGCTCAGAATTGGAGTCCATTGTGCTCTCTGGGGAAAGATCATGCAGATTGAGGGGGCTGGGGCCCCTGCATACCTGAGGAAGGCCTAGCAGCCAGGCTGCTGCCGCACCTGGCTTCAGACTGGGCTGCAACCCTATCCTGCCAGATGGTGTCTTCATTGTGTCATCTCTAAGAACATGAAGAAAACACCCTGGCGTCACCCCTGGCAGCGTGCTCCCGTGGCCAACAGCCTTCTCCAGCAGGCAGCTGCGTTAGACAACCCCTCCCCAGTTGTGTGCTATACAAATGGCTCAGCATATGCAGAAGGCTGGTCTCCCACATTTTGTAACCCCTGGGTACATGCAGACTTATCTGTAGCTTCACAACCTTGTCTTTCTCAGCTAACATAGTGGTGGTTCTTATTTTCTACCAACATAATGTTCCCATGATGTAAAACTTCCTATCCAGTGAATTAAGAGTCAGAACCTATTTTACAGATGAGAAACTGAAACATAAAAATTGTAACACTCAGGAAGCGGAAGGCGAGAAACCATGAGCTCAAAGCCAACTTAGATTACACAGCAAGACCCTGTGTGAAGAAAATAATAATAATAATAATAACAACTACAGGGCTGGTGAGATGGCTCAGTGGTCTAAAGCACCTACTTAGAACAAGCTAAGCTAAGCAAAGCACAGGGACTGCAGTTCAATCCCCCAGCACCACATGCCAGCCAGCCCCACCCCCTGGTGGGCTGAGCTGGCCACACACAAAAATAAATAAATAAATAAATATAATTTTTTTTTAAATGTTAAAATAAAAAGAAGGAAGGGTGTTTGGATAGAAATACACAATCTGTGAAAAAAAAAATAAAATAACAACAACTACAAACTGAGGCTGGTGATGTTGCCCTGTAGTAGAGCACTTGCAATGGGCCTAGGTTCAGTTACTATGAACCACAGAGGTGTTGAGGGGGAGCATTTACAAACATTTCTCAAGGTGGAGCTAGCATTTGAACTCAGAGCTTCCTGATTCACAAGTGTAGAGAAATTATGTTGTGTTGTGTGCCTGGCACCTAGGCTTACACCAGCTGGCCTCTAAGCTTGGGTCCTCCTCCTCCTGAGTGTGATCTGAAGAGAGCCACTTAATCACGATTGCCACAGTTTCCTCATCCCTAAGACAAGGATAATCACCGTTAATTACTACTATCATGACCGGCATACATGCTGTTCGGTTACTTTCGCAGAGCCTGTGCAGTTGTCCCTGTGGATACAGTGGTGCGGGAGGGGCCGAGAGAGGCAGCGGATGGGGCTGGGAGACAGGCATTGGGCAGCGCCGCACTGAGCAAGCTGGAGGTGAAGAGTGCAGCTTGCCTTTCCCACCTGCCTTTTTGTTTTCCCTCCCAGACGTTTGGAGAGAAGCTCCTCGGAGTCATGGCCTGGATCATGCCCATTTCTGTTGCCCTGTCCACATTTGGAGGCGTTAACGGGTCTCTCTTCACCTCCTCCCGGTGAGTGCTGCCTGGGCCCTTCTCGGGCATGGGGGCTTGCCTAAACACATTGCTTCCCGTGTCTGTGGTGGGCTTGTCTGTGTCTGTGGAGGCCTGTGTGGGCTCCTGGGAGGTGGCTTCGCTGAGGTGCATGTGTCAGTGTGGCTGCAGAGGGCCTGTACTGCTCACCTGCTCTGTGTGCAGTGTGCAGGTTCCAGGAGTACACTGCACTCCGGCTCATTTCAGAAAAGCAGAGACTGCACTGTGTCCTGAGCCCCCTTTCCACTCCTCTGTGTCCTACATTCCTAGAGCCCCCTTTCCACTCCTCTGGACACAGGCTGCTGCTGGCCAGGAAAGAATGCTACTCTGCAAAGGTCCAGGAGGGAAGCTCTGCCTGGGGCCTCTGGGTCTGACCACCCATGAATGTTGTGGAAGCAGACCAATATGGGATGGGTTCACCCTGCACACCCTGAGAATGCAGGGTGCTCCCTGCTCCCTAGGCAGGCACTGTCAGAGGTCTCCGTGAGACAGAAGTAAGAGGTTGGGGAAGTATGCAAGGAAAGCATTTGTCAACGAAAGCCTTTCAGCCATACTCTCCACTCCAGAACTCTCAGGAGCCAGAGCACAAGTGTGCCCTATAGTCCCCAACTCCTGCTTCACACATCCAGGGATCTGCTCTCCCCACCCCTCTTGCCACCTCTAGAATGTTCTGTTGATGCTAGTAGATAGATAGTGGATGGCTTCCATCTGTGTGATCCAAGGCATCTACCCAGGTTCTTAGAAAGACCCTTGCCTTTGGGGCACAGCCCTACATAACTGCTTCCAAAGCCACCTGTCACATACAGGAGGAGTTCCTGTGAAATGACAAGGGACTGCCTTGTTTGTAGGATCTAGGGCAGCAAAGAGGAAACACAGGGGCTCCTTGTGCCCAGGACTCTAGGAGATTCATCCACAGCAACCTCATGTGTGTGTTACACAGGCGCCATGGCCACCTGGAAGCCCCAGCTGAGGGCAAGTGGTGGAAGATGAGTGACCCATCATGCTCCCTGGGATCTATGGAGGAGTGTGGCCACACTGGCTTTAGAGTGGGGTTTGTCCCTCAGGCAGGCCATGCTGTGGTCTGCGTGCATGTGCCCAGCTGCGTGTGCATGCAGGAGATAGTGGATGGTGGGCATGGTATGCTTGCCTCTGAGTCAGAAGCACAACCTCACTCACCTGACCTCCCTTGCTTGTCTTCCAGTTCCTTTCTTCCCTGTCCTCACTCTTACTTTTTTATGTTCTGGGGAGTGGAGAAGGTGCTCCTTTCCCAGGAGTCCAAGTGTGTGGGGGTGTGTTATGCTAATGTCATTGTATCCTCCATTGTCAGCTATCTGGGCAAGAACTGTTTCTTTTGAACCTGACACTTGCAAGTGCTGTTGGACAATTATCCTTGGCCCTGGCTGCATTCAGAGGAGGGAGTTGAATGTGGACTCCTGGCTGTGTGCATGTGCAGGCCCACCTAGCCCCTGGGCTTAGTCTAGTGCATGAGGCTGCGCTGTAGGACAGTGGCATGGGGGAGGGCCAGGGATATGTGCGTTGCATGAACCTCTGGTAGTGACTGGCCTAGGAGGCTAAGGATGGGCCACTGCTCATGCGTCCTTGAAGCCAGCCCCCACAATGTTACTGCTGCATCACACAGCAATCACAGAACAAGTGGCAGTCTCTTCTCACCTCCCAGCATGAAACAGCTCTGCCCTTCCCCTCACCACACCATCCTCTTTCTCTTCTCTGAAATGCTTCTTTCCCTAGAAAACAGAAAAAGTGGTCTATTTAGCACTCGCATGTAAATAACAATGTATGGTATTCTCTCTTAGAAGAGGGAAAGGAAGGGGTTCTTTTCTCTGTGTGCACGTTGAAGTACTGAGGACCCGTAAATGCTTTTGAGAGAGTCTTCTAATAGCCTGCACTGGCCTCGAACTCACACTGCACACACGTGCGCATGCACATGTGCACACACACAGATCAGGCTGACCCTGAACTTGTGGTGATCCTGCCTCATTCTTTCAAGTGCTGGAAAAGCAGGTGTGCACTGTCATCATACTTAGCTAATTTCTCTTTTTAAAAATAACATTTAGAGCTAGGTACCACACCTATTATTTTAGGATTGGAGCAACACTTGGGGGAAGGTTGGGGCACAAGGATTGAAAGTTTGACACCAACCTGCACTACATAGTGAGTTCAAGACCAGTCAAGGACTACATGGCAAGACCCTATCTCAGCAACCCCCCCTTTTTTTTCTTTATTTTATTTTATTTATTTATTTTGCAGAACCAGGGATTGAACTCAGGCCCTTGCACTTGCCAGGCAAGCACTTATTCTACTGAACCATCTCCCTGGCCCCACCCCCCCTTTTTAGTGAAGGTCTTGCTAAATTGCCCAGGCTAAACTGAAACATGCTATCCTACTGTTTAGTCTCCCAGATATGTGAGCCACCACACCTGGCAACAACAAAAATTTTAAAATATCAATATCATAGTTGTAATGTTATACTGTAACTGTAATGTACTGGTAGAAGAAACTGAATGAAGAGTACTTCCCATCTCCCAGTAGTGTTTTTTTGTTTTTGCTTTTTTTTTACAATTATGTGTGAATTTTTTCTCAGAATAAAAAGTTTAATTGTTTAAAAAGTTTAAAAATAATTGTCCTGATTTTAAATGTCCTATTTTATTTTATTTCATTTGTTTTATTTTTATATCGGGAATTGAACTCAGGACCTTGTGCTTGCCAGGTAGGTGCTATGCCACTGAGCCAGATCCCCGGCCCCTAAGTATCCTATTTTAGGGTGTGAGCTATAGTTTGGTGGTAGAACTCATCTGCAGTGTGCACAAAATCCTGGACTCAATCCCAGCACATAAAAATTTATTTTTCTATAAAGCATAAGGGAAGAAATTAAAGTTACTCACAACCCTACCACCTAAGATTTTAGTGTATCTTTTACATGCTTATAAAAGTGTTTCAGTTAATTAGCATCATAGTCTCTATCCTGATTCTTCATTTAATGTTATCTTGTAAGCATGTTCTCATGGAAACAATTCTTTTAAAAACATTATTATGATTTCATCATTTTCTATCTATGGATAGGCCATAATTTATATAATCAGTCTCATCCTTTTAAACATGTAGGATATTTTTCATTTTTTCTTGCTATCTCAGTTTATACCTTTCACCAACTCTATTCATTTCTTTGGGTTGGCTTCTTGGGAATAGAGTAGCATCTGTAAGATATACAGTTTAAGTACAGCTTATAGGCAATAAGATTAATAGGTCACAGTGTGTTCAATTCAGTGAGTTTGAAAATTACAGAGAGCCCTGTAACTGCCCCTCAGAACATCTTCAATTCTGCACCAGGTTCCGACCTGCTCCCCCCAAACACAAACACCTGCACCTAATCTCTAAGTATCACGAGAAACCTGTGCAGACTTTTCCACGTTGTTCACTCCAGGACTTGAGGGAGTCTGTATCCCTGGAGGGTAGAGAGGCACATTTTTAAAGGGACAAAGGCTTTAGGACTAGGGCTGTTCCTGTAGCCTTCCAGACATCAGGCGTGACAGAGTACAGTGCCCTGAGCCAGCCAGACCACAGGCACAGTCTCCCCACCAACCCACTGGGTGCCTCTGGTTTGCCTGCATCTGCATTAGGACTAGTGGCTGTGAGGTGTGCATGCACAGGTGGGTGCTAGCTGGAAGAGGGGTGCTGCTGTGTGGATGGAAGGTGGATGTGGAGGAAGGGCCCTGACTTGGTAGTCTGTGGACTGCTCCCAGCTGACCTGCTTTCTTCCCCCCACCAGGCTATTCTTTGCTGGAGCCAGAGAAGGCCACCTTCCCAGTGTGCTGGCCATGATCCATGTGAAGCGCTGCACACCGATCCCAGCCCTGCTCTTTACGGTAAGGGCCTTCCTGCTGCTGCCCCCAGCCCAGTACCTCTCTTTTATACTCAGCTGGGACTTCACGCTCTCCACATACACCCTGCCACTCTTCTGGTTGGCCCCTACTTTTCCTGGCCCTTAGATAATCTGACAGATGGACTCATGGACTTTATTAATATTGAGGGATATCAGGAAAGATGCGAAATCCAAAATACCTGAAGCTGTCAGCCTGGCTCACTCTCATTCTCCCACCCTTTGGGGGAAGACTGAAGTGAATGCCCTCAGAAAGACACAGTGCCTCCCCTACCTTCCTGACGTCCATAACTACAGGCAGGGCTGCAGCTCGGGGCCTCTGCTCCTGGCTGGTCCCTGAGCACCCTCACTCCTCTCCAATTTCTTGCCCCAGGACAGTGTGCCTGTCTTCTGAGACAGCAGAAATAAATCCAGCATTAAGGGTATCACAAATAAGAAATATCCTGAAGAGAGGAAGGCCAGTAAGGTAGAGAAAAAGAAATTTTCTCTGGGGATGCAATGGAGGCAAAATATCACTGAAGCAGAATCATTTGAGGAGAATTAAAGGAAAGAGCAAAGACTTGTGCCCAGTGAGTCCTTTGAGTTATTCTTATTTTCCTTCTGGGTCCTCAATAAAACATTTAAAATGGCTTTGGTCCACTGAAGAAGAGGTCAGAAATCAGGATAACAGGGCTGGGGGAGCCAAGGGCATTGTACACCACTGGAAAATATGAGAATGTTCAAGCCAGGCTGAAGGTCATCTTGATCCCTCTGTGGCGGTATCTACAGAAGGCTGTGTTCCCGTCGGACCACATGGCTTTTTTCAACTGAGCCTTCCATGGCTGGCTGTGGCAGGAGTCAGTCCTGTTCACCCACTAACATCTTCTCAATTTTTTCCACCATCAGATCTCACAGGAGAACTGACCCTTTGATTGGCCTTCACAGACTACCAGAGAGAACAGCATGACTTGCTCTGAGAGAGTCACAGAGATAACTTTGAAGTTGGAAAGTGACCTCTATCCAGAAAACCTCCCAGGGATGTTATGAGGGTTAAATGCATTCATATTTGCACAGGGCTAAGAATAGGACCTGGCTATGCAACTGTTGACATTTTTTTTAAAGAAAAGGAAGAAAAATTAATGAGATAACTCGGCTTGGGGAAAAGGATGAATGCAAAAACAAACCATTAATTTGAAGTTAATAATCTTCTCAAAGGGATTTTTTTTTTTTAACTTTCTGCAAAGCTTTATTCCAGAGGGGCTCAGTCCTTCTTGGCAGCTGCCTTCCTCACGGCAGCCAGCACGTTGCTCAGCTCCTTGTGCTTCCTCTTGGCGCTGATATGCATCCCCACCCTTTTCTTGATGAACTTGAGGGTGCACTTGTCCTTGGAGACCTTGAGCAGCTCCATGGCATGCCTCTTGTAGGGGGCAAAGCCGCACACCTCCCAGATCAGGTCTCATATGAACTTTGTGTGTTTGATGAGACGTCCGCCACAGCGGCTGTGCCTGGGTTTGCTCACGTTCTTAGTCACCTTGTGGCCCTTGTTGAGGCCCATGGCCATGGGATAGTGGAGGGCCATGGCTGCTCTTCTTTGATGGTTGCTGTGGTGGAAGGTTCTCAAAGGAATTTTTAAAAAGAAATTAGCTTTAGCCATAACTAAGGGAGACATATAAATGAGAACAGGATCCAGAGCCAGGTGACACCAGTGTTGCCTGGTCTAGGCATCCATCCTGAGTGGTTAGTCCTTTGCTGTATCCAGCTTAAATCCTTTGATTCAGCTTTAGCAATGAAAAAGAACATTGTAACTCCAACCAATGGAGGCGTGTTAGCGGCCTGGGTTCCTAGTGGTGATTATAAAGTCTTCTCCATGAGCTGTCCATTACACAATGGCATGGTTGCCTGGGTCAGGAACTGTCCCTGACCCTGGGAACCTGCTCCAAGAGTGCCTTTGTGATGACTGATGAGCCCCTGATTTCCCCAGTGCATCTCCACCCTGCTGATGCTGGTCACCAGCGACATGTACACACTTATCAACTACGTGGGCTTCATCAACTACCTCTTCTACGGGGTCACGGTTGCTGGACAGATAGTCCTTCGCTGGAAGAAGCCTGACATTCCTCGCCCCATCAAGGTGAGGGAACCTCTCTGGGGATCCGGTACGCCTTTATTTGAATCTAGCTGAGTTGATCATGGCACAAGGGCCATGTGCGAAGGGGCAGCCATTTCCTTTATCCCATGGAGAAAGGGCCAGGGTAAATGTCAGCAGGGGAATAAGTAGGTGAAAGGTTCCTTTTGAAACAGCATTCAGGGGCTGGAGAGCTGGCTCAGTGGAATAAGCACTTCCCTGGCAAGCGCAAGGGCCTGAGTTCAATCCCCAGTTCCGCAAAAAAAAAAAAGGAAAAGAAAAAGAAACAGCATTCCACTGATTCCCTCCACGCCCAGTCTTCAACTCCAGCTGCCTTATCAGGCTCTCTTGTCTCTCCAGTGTTGTCCTCATGTTCTTCCAGATAGATGGATGTCTCTCATCTGCCTATATTTAGGTTCTAACTACCTGCGATGTGGTGGCAGCCCACAGTCCCAGCTTGGGAGGTTAATGCAATTGGATCATTTAAGCCCAGATTGACCCCAGCCTGGACAGCAAAGTGATACATTGTCTCATAAACAACAAGTATATTCTAACCATTTTCTAAATAGGCCTCAAGTACGTCCTCTTTTTTGAAGCTTTCCAGCTCTCTACAGAACTTTTTCTCTTTTCTTCCTTTCTTCCTTCTTTTTTCTCTTTTTTCTTTTTTTCTTTCTTCCTTTCTTTTTTTCCTTTATTCCTTCTTAATGTTTTTGGAACCCTGTTGAAGATCAAACCCATAGCTTCACACACACTAGGCAAGCACTGTACCACTGAGTACAGCCTCCCTTTTTAAACACCTATGACCCTACATACACTACTGTGCTTCGTGAACTTAAGGATTGCTACAAAAATAGTATGTTATGATGGGAACTGATGGGATTGTTCACAATAAGCTATGTAGACTGCTGAGTTCTTCTGCAAAACAGAAGAATGATATAGGCCAGAACATTCCTAGAAATAGAGACTTGAAACTACTAGAAGATTCTTGCAGCTGACAAATCAAGGGCTCTCCAGACTTCTTAGATCTCCACTATTATTTTCACTTCTACTTTCTTCCACTTGGAAAACCTGAGAGAGTTGGACATGGTGGTGGCATATCTATAGTCCTGACCTGGGGAGGCTGAGGCAGGAGGATCTCAAGTTCAAGTCCAGCCTGGATAACTTAGCAATTTAGCAAGGCTTACATCAAAAATTGAAAAGAAAAAAAAAACTATTGAAAGCCCTGGGTTTACTCCCCAGTACCAAAATAGCCAGCTGGGGCATTGTGCCATATGCTTGTAGTCCCAACACTCTAGGAGACTAAGGCAAGAATATTGCAAATTTGACCTCAGCTGGAGCAACTACCAAGATCCTATCTCAAAGTTGAAAAAATAATTATTATTACATAGGTTTGATTTGCAATGAATAAGAATGCATTCATCATCCTTTTTACTTACCCTTCCCCCCTCCTCTCTTCTACTTCCCCATCCCTAGATTCTGTTCCCATCTCAATAAAGTCTACCTTCCCAAAATTTTAAGAGGACTAGGGATGTAGTTCATGGCACAGCACTTACCCAGCATGCACAAGGCTCAGGGTTCAAGCCCCAGTGCTAAAAAAGAAAGAAAATTCAAAAAGAAAAGAGGAAGAGAAAAAAACTGTGAGGCAAGATGAAGAACCTCAGCTCCCCTCTGAAAGGAGTGGAAGGAGGAGAAGGCAGCCCCTAGAGCCCAGGAGAGGGTGTCTAGGGACCCCCATATGTGGCCAGGAGGGTCAGGAAAGCCCATGAAGTTGGTGCTGCTTTCTGGAATAAAGTCAGAACCCAGCCTGCTTTAGGCCATGCTAGCTTTCCTAATTTCTTGGCTCTTGGGATGTTTATCTCTTCAAGTTGCTTGAGAGAAACGATTAGGGCTGATGCTAGTGAGAAAGATGGGTATTTGCCATTGTGTTCCCAAGTGAAGGCCCTGCCTAAAAATGGATGAGAACCAGACCCAGGTCATTTCTTGCCTGCCTTTTGGCCTAGGGCTTCATCAAGGATATCTTAAATCCTCTGTCCTCATGGCTTCTCTGGCTGCCATAGGTACTAGAGGGGCCGGGGAGATAGCTCAGTAGAATAAGCACTTGCCTGGCAGGCGCAAGGGCCTGAGTTCAATCCCTGGTTCCACAAAAAAAAAAAAAAAAAAAAAAAAAGGTACTAGGTATAGATGCTGAGGCCTCATCTGACACCCTCCCCCTCCCCCCGGGGAAGGATGGCATGAGCAACGAGAAGCATTTCCTCCCCGGTGTCTGTCTTCCTCCTGTCCCACTGCCCAAGTTTACCAGCGTTCACTGACACTTCACCTGCCTCATCAGAGCCCAGGGTGTGGGATACAGCTGAGTGAAGCTTAGCCTTCAAGGCAGCCTTGTAGTTGGGACGGTGGGAGCCACACACAGCTCACAGTGCATCTGCTCCACAGATCAACTTGCTGTTCCCCATCATCTACTTGCTGTTCTGGGCCTTCTTGCTGATCTTCAGCCTGTGGTCAGAGCCGGTGGTATGCGGCATTGGCCTAGCCATCATGCTGACAGGAGTGCCTGTCTATTTCCTGGGTGTTTATTGGCAAAACAAGCCCAAGGGCTTCAATGACTTCATTGGTGAGTTAATGAAGGCTGTGGATGTCCAGGCCTCTGGGGCTGGCATGGGGTGGCCTGGAGGGGCCCCACCAGGGTCAGGATCAGGAGCCCCACCTACACACACCTTAGTCCTCAAGGCACTGAAAAAGTAAGCAGGGCAGGAATGGTGCTGCCTTCCCAGAGACTACTGGGAAGAGAACAGTTCATGTTTCCACACAGACCTTAGATCTGCAAGCACAGGCAGCCACCAGCCATCCCCAGGAGCTGCCCTGAGTCCAGGAATTGACCAATGGACACTGAGAAAGGGGATGCTGGAGCCTTGGTGAGCAAAGGACTGTCAGCAAAAGATGCCTGAGACAGACATGGTTGCTGTCTCCCAGAGAGGGATCTCAAATAGCCTGGGCTGCTCTGCCGAGAGGGAACCTGGGGCAGAAGAGCTAGTTAAGCTTATGGCTACTTAATGAACCCAGCAGGACAGTGGCACTAACCTGCTTTCTGTGTGGTCTTCTTCCACAGAGTTGCTAACCTTGGTGAGCCAGAAGATGTGTGTGGTCGTGTACCCAATGGAGAAGGGGGACTCGGAGATATCAGGGCTGGGAGAGGATGTGGTAGAGCAGCGGCAGTCCTTCTGCCAGCCAGCACCCGCCAAGGATCAAGACTCAGAGGAGCAGCTACAGGCCTGAGGACTGCCCATCCCTCAGCTAGTTACGCCCTCCTTCCTCCCTTTCCTGCCCTGCCTCCCTGTCTGGGACCCCAACACACATGCAGCACAGCTGGAACTGGACCTGGGTGAGGGGGTGAACAGATCTAAACAAATGTCCTGACATCTCTACCCAAAGAAGCAGCCCTCTCCTCAGGGCCAAGCCCCCTCACAAGGACTGCCCTCCCTCTGAGCATTAGAGGGCAGTGGAGATGCCAAGGCTGCCCTGCAGCGCCTTCCAGGCCTCACCCTCAGTGCCTCTTAGGGAGCTGAGCTCAATACTGCCTTTCCTCCCCATTCCTGGGCCCAAAAGAGCCTTGGTTCAGAGAGAAGAGGCAGTCACCATGAGCTGGTTGGGGAAGACAGACTGAGGAGTCTATCACTGGAGGTCAGTGGAGAGACTTAGACCTTCTTTCTTGACCACGACCCAAAACCGGAAGGGATGCTCCCCCTGTGCTCTTCCCCAACCATGCCACTGTCCCTCCATCACCAGCTGTCTTGGGCTCCCTGTTGGAGAAAGGCTCCTTTCAGGACACCTCCTCCCCACTGAGCTAAGGCCCACAAGGAGGGGGAATGGAGGGGAGCGGGGAGGTGATGACAGCCCCAGTCCTGAGCCAGGCCTGCCCCTGCCCCCTGCATTCTGCCCCCGACACATGGTGCCAAAGCTTCCCAAAACAGAAAGCTGCCTTTTTTCTTTCAGTGTAGTGGCTATTGCTCTCCCTCCTAAAGACAACACCACTCTGCCCCTCCTCCTGCCCCACCCCATGGGAAGGGGCAATGGTCCTCTTATCCTACAGCTGTACCCCCACACCCACATGGAACCAGAACTGCCACCCCATCCCATCAGGTCCTTTCCTCCTTTCTGGACCTTGGCTCAGGGACCAGATGTGAAGGATCCCCAAGCCCTTCAGGCCTGAAACCAGAGCCAATCCAGCCTTAAGTCACCTTCCAGCCAAGAACTGGACCTAAAAATACTCCCTGATTTCTAATCCTCAGGACAGGCATGGTATTAAATGCCTTCCCTGGGTGGAAGGGTGCTTTCCTGTCCTCAGAGCTGTCTGGTCCACAGCCCATATGGTTGTCTGGGAGAGCATTTTCGGAAGGCCTGGGCCTCTCCCTGCTACCCCTCACATAACCCCTCCCTCCTTATAGCCTCACTACTCACATCTTGGATCAGATGGGAGGGCAGTGGCAGAATGGTGTCCACTTTGAAAATAAGAGACTCAGAAAATAAGAGACCTCAGACAAGCATCCTCTCTGTGGTATGTGGGCTTTTGATCTTTGGCATTTGCCCAGGCTGTGCAGCCTCGCCAGCCAAACCCGCCGTGCTGACACAGGCCCCATTTATCCCAAAGCATGACCCCCTACACACTCCATCTACTTAAACTGGAACACCCAGGGAGCCCCTCCTGGCCCAGATAGCGTCTCCCAGCTTTCCACCCGGCTCTCCTGACCCCTTGTTGGTAAGATGCTGGGTTTGGACTGAGTTACAGACCCTCCAAGTAGACACCAGCTGGCTGGAGTGGGCCCTGGAGGACCAGGGGACCATCTTCCTCTTTCCTTTCTTCTCATTCCTCCAGCCTCTTCCCCTCTTTCAGTTATTTTTGTTTTTGTAAAGCAGATGCCTTACTTTTTGGATAAATATTTTCGAAGCTGTTATTTCTATTTCTTTTGGAATTTTTTTTAATGGAAGATTGTTTTGGGGAGTGGAATTAGATTCTTGACAATCTTGTCATAAAGTTCGTTTAGGTTTTAGAATTTTGTTCATTTGTTTTGTGGAGGTCTTGTTTTTCTTTAAATATAATAAAATTTTAAGTGGAAATGAAATCAGTAGTCTTCATAATTAAAGGACCTGAAATTGAGTCACTGACATTTACCTTACTCAAGTACCTGCTTGCCACGCACCTTCCAGAATGGGATTCCAAAAATCTTGTGATCTCTGCCTTCAGGCTGACCCAGGGACTAGGCCTGTACGTTCAAACAATTACTTCACATTCTTTCTATGGGGTCCTAGGGTGTTGTTAAGTTCCTACTCTGTACCATCCAAGAACCTGCAAATCAACTGAGAAAAAGAACCAACCACAGGTCAGATATAAGGGCAAACGCCTATAATCCCAGCCCTCAAGAGGCTGAAGCAAGAGGATTGCCATGAGTTCAAGGCCAGCCTGGACTACAAGGCGAGTTCAAGGCCAGCCTGAAATGCACAGTGAGACCTTTTCTCAAACAAACAAATAAAAAAAAAGGGGGGGGGGAGAGAAAGGGAGAGGACGAGACAGCTCCTGCCTAGCATGTCTGAAGCCCTGGGTTCCACCCCTAGTACTACAAAAGAAGAATTCCTCATTATCATCATTACTCAAAATGGGCAGCACAGGCTGAGCCCTGAGGTCAAGGTGGGTCAAGGTAGGGGAAGGTGTCCCTTCTTGCACTAAGTCAAATGTGAAAGGAAACGGTGGGCTGCTTCCATAGTGAGACTTAGCTTTGCTGGGAACAGGGGCATGTGCCTAGGCTCCCAGAACTGAGGAGACTGAAGCAGGAGTATTTCAATTCTAAAGCCAGCCTGTGCTAAGTAGCAAGACCCCTCTCTGAAAATAAGAGACTCAGCGTTTGAGGAACTTGAAGGGAGGTGAGGCAGGCTCATTCAGCAGCACAGAACATCTGACCAGACAGGATCCCTGAACTAGGACTAAGGCCAAACAGAAAGCATGAAGGTAGCTGCACGCCTCCTGATGTTTTGGGTTAACTGTCAGAGGCAGCTTTTGTCCCTTCCTTTCTGGGCAGCCCTGCTGTTCTCTTCTGGGGCAGGGGCAGCATCAGTCTGGGGCCAGCACTGCTGCAGGGCTATGGGAGGTGGCACCAATGAAACATGGCCCTTCACCAGCTTGCCTAGCCAAAGCCTAGTCCCTCCACTCCTACTATGCAGCTGGCCACTTGCCATCCCTAAAGCCCTGAGCTGGAAGCCAGACACAAATCATATGTGTGTAAGTTATCTACCTCATCAGTGTAGGGGGGAAGAGGGAGACAGAGACAGAGACAGACTGAGACTATGAATGGGAGACTGAGAGCTAACCCAAAACAGCTCTGCTCTAACTTAAGGTGTCCCTGAAGGGCAGAGGCCCAGCTGCTGCAGGAAGCTGTCCGGGAGACTCTGCCACCTTTTGGAGCCCAATGCACTCACTCTCCCTGGCCTGGCAGTCTCCTCTGTGTTGTCACCTTCTGTCAGGCCCTGCCCTCTCTAATGTCTTCTTACTGCACAGAGACTCTTGTCCTTGATGGGCTCCCCTCTTTCTCTAAAGTGACACTTGCTAATCTCAACCTGGCCAGAGGGTCAAATGTAGGTCTCCACTTGGGCAACAGCAGGAGCCATTCCCCTGTTGTAACCCCATCAGTCACTTTAGTGCTAGGCATTTCTGCTGCTCTGACCTTTGGGAACCTTTTGAAAGTCACTAAAGTCATAGGTGTTCATGCATTCATTAATACAGTCACACAATAAATCTTTTTTTTTTTTTTTCCTGGCTTTGCTATATGATGTAGGAACAGAAAATTTATTCCTGAATTTTCCTACTCAGACCAGATTTCAAATATTTTCTGTCCCCATAAAAATATTAAAGCCAGGCATGGTAGTTCACACCTATAATCACAGCAGTAGAGAGGCTGAGGCAGGAGGATCACCTCAAGTTTAAGGTCTCCTGTGCTATCTACCAGTAGAGAGTTCAAGGCCAACTTGGACTACATAGTGAGACCCTGTCTCAAAAAGATCTAAAAGTATTAATTAGGGCCAGGCATGGTGGCACACACTTATAATCCCAGCACAGGGGAGGCTGAGACAAGAGGATTGCCATTGACATGGGTTTGAAACCAGCCTGGACCACAAAGTGAGTTCAAAGTCAGCCTGAACTGCACAACAAAACCCTGTCTCAAAAAGAAAAAATAAAATTCAGATATGCAATCCACCTGTCCTTAATCATAATTCAGGAAATATGATCACTTTACTTGGAGGAATCCAACAGAAGTACGTGACTCTATTCTCAAAGACCAAATAGGCTGTAGGGAAAGAGAAGCAAAGATGCATGTGTCGCAAAGGTATGTGCTTTGTGGCCTCTCAGATCACCCTTGCCAGCTCCCTGTGTGCCTGCCTGGCTCCCCCAGCCAGGCTGGTCCCCACAGAAACCCCAGAGCATGTGCAGTGCTTAGCACCTATGCGCTCAGAAATATTTATCAACTGAAGACATCCTACAAAAGAGAAACACAAATAAAATAGCAACGAAAGGTTAGAAGAAGAAAGGAGACTTCATGTTCCCTGAAACCAGTTGCTGTACTTACATTATCTTATTCAAAGTTTAATTAAGCAACTCTAGGAAGGAGACATAACTCCTGCCCTCTTACAGGTAAGACTGAGCAGCTCACCCAAGGTCATTGAGCTGCTAAGTGACAGAAGCCAGATTGGAGCCCAGTTCTCTCTGACACGTCTCTGCCAGGCTCAGCCACCTCCCTCTAGGGAAGCCTTGGTAGAGGCAGGTCACAAACCACAGAGAAAATCGAACAAGTGGTGAGGATGGTGGCACAAAGAAAAGGATCCTGTTGACTGGGGAAGGCTTCTTTTCCCTATGCAGCAAAAATCTCCAACACTGGCTGCACCGCCCTCCCAGCTCCTTTCCCTCCTGCCCAGAGTCCACTTCACTGCCCTCATGTCTACAGCCCAGCTGCCCCCACCAAGCCCTCAGTTACAGGAAAACACTGATGTCAGTGTGCGCAGGTAGCGTCAGCCATCCAGGGAGGCCAGGGCCCAGATCACTTATCTCACTGTGGCTCAAGCCTTCTCATTTCCTGATGGTTTTATTTACACACCTCCCTACTCCCTCCAGCACCCAATTCTCTGCTACTGATGCGGACTGCCCCCTCCCCATGGTAGTCCACTGGGAGCAAAAGAGTTCTCTGAGTCACACCATAACCCCTGCGCCACCACCTCAGCCCTGAGCCATGCCTCGAGCCCACAGCCCTTCCTGACATCAACAGGCACCCTCGGGTGACCTTGGACACCTCAGCCTCTCGGCCTTGTCTTCCCTGTTGATAAAGCAGCGATAAAAATACTATCTGCCATGCCTTCTTTCCTATTTAATGCTCAGCCAGATGGTCAGCATGCAGAGTAAACGTTAGGATGACTGAAAAACAAGAGTTATCTGAAAACACCTAACATTAACCTTACTTCAAAATCATAGAGGGAGGGGACAGTATTTCTTCTCAAGACAAGGCCATAGCACTAGCCCTCCCAGTTTACCCACCCTGCCCATAACTGGATTGTGAGCCCCCATCCTGGCCCTGTTTCCCTTTCTTCCCAGTGCTCAAGTCTGAGCCTGTGCCAGGATTGACAGAAGTGTTCTCTGCTGTCCGTCTTACGCAGAACAGCCCCTTGTCCCAATTTTTAGCCAATATTGCCACCTCGTGGTCAAGAGGGGCACTGTTGCCAAAATAAGGAATGGCCTTGGTTATTATTTGAAATGGTACCAAGATCTGCAACACAAGAAATCTCACCAACTGCATCCTGAGATCTGTCTCCAGGGCCTGCAGACCTCCCCACACTGGCTCAAGAGTTCTGAGCATATCTGGCCATACTTCGAGCTGCCATGCACAGAGCACCTGCAGCAGGTGAGGGAGTAGAAGGAGGGGAAGGAGGACACTACTGAGACAGTAACTTGCTTGACTTGTAAGCAAGTTACATTTGCATCTTTTACTTTTGTGTCCAATGTCACACGGATCCTATCAATAGTTGCCCCACTGGGGCACAATCACAGAGACTCAACCCCACCCCACCTGACGTAAAAACATCCAATGCTCCACAGAGCACTCAAAGCATCTCCTCCTAGTAGAAGGGCCAGTGACGCATTTCTATGTATCTTTCTTTTCCCTGGACCTACACCTTATGAAGACAAAATTCAACAGGTAACAGCAGAGCTACAGCAGGTACTGCTGACTGAAGGGAGGGAGTAGGGGTTCCCAAAGAAAAAGAAAAGGAAAATTGGAAGGGGGGCAGCACAAGGCCAAGAAGTACAGAGAAGGAGCCATGGGCTTCTCCTAGGGACCCTGAAACAGAGCCCCAGGAAGAAGTGATGACAAAAGAGAAAGCTCAAACCTACAAGAGGAAGTAGACCCAAGACAGGCTCTGGAGGTCAGAGAACAGCCATGCAAAAGGAAAGACAGCAAACCGAGCTGCAGCGAGCTCCTGAGCCTGCACCCCAGGGCACAGGAAGTGGGGGGCAGTCTTGAGCCCAGAGTGGGGGGGGGCAGCCTGAGTCTTGCAGAGTGGGGTAGCTGGAAGAGAGAGCTGCTGGAGCAATCAGAGTACAGCTGAGCCCAAGTCCTGACCAGGAGGCCCAGCTATTCCCAGGCAGGGAATGTGTTAGTGTCTGGGCTACTCACAGCCCCTGTGCAAAATGCTACCAAAGGCATGCTCTGCACCAGGGCACAGGTGCCCCGCATGTCTGTTTCCTAAACCCCTCCAGCAACACCTCTGGCTCGCACCCAGGAGAATGCCTTAGGGGTGGGGACACACACACACACACACACACACACACACACACACACACACAAACTGGCTGCCCCTGGGGTAGGTGGAGCCCAGCACTGGGGACCTGGGTTGAAGGCATGTTAAGGGCGGAGTTCAGACAAAGTGGGGTCGGCACTGAGAAGGCTGTCTATTCACTCTCACTTGGCACCTCATTCTGCACAGAACTTTTTGGAAATTGGAGGGAGGAGGACATTTAGAGTAAGGTGTTGTGCTGTGAGGATTTGGGGTCCCCTGAGATTTTCAGGGAGGGGAAGACATTCTCCACAGTCAACTCCTGGGCATCTCCAGAACTCTGGCTTGGACGCCACAGAGAGCACCCCAACTGCTAAATAGGGCTAGGCCCCCCTTCTCAAAGGCCTGCATCCCTCCCTCTAGGGTGTGCCCTGCCCCTCCCTGAGTCACCCCAGGGAGAGAGAGGGGGAAAAAAGGGAAGAGAGGCACTGACTACAGAGGAAGGAAAGGGAGCACAGCAGAAGAGGGAGGAGAGAAGCCACACGGGAGTGGGTGACAAAGAAGAGCAGAGAGGGCAGATCTAGGGCAGATCTAGGGCAGGGGAGACCGAGGGAGGGCAGGCTGGGCATCCAAGGGGCGCCCCAAGAGCAGGGCCCAGGGGCGGGGAGCGAAAGGGGCGGGCCGGCCATGTCCCACGGGACCTACTATGAGTGTGAGTCCAGGGGTGGCCAGCCGCCACTTGAGTTCTCCGGGGCCCGAGCAGGGCCTGGGGAGCTGGGGGACATGTGTGAGCATGAGGCCTCCATCGACCTTTCTGCCTACATCGAGTCTGGGGAGGAGCAGCTGCTCTCCGACCTCTTTGCCATGAAGCCAACCCCTGAGGCCCGGAGTCTCAAGGCCCCCGGAACCCCTGCCTTCCCTCATTATCTGCAGCCTGACCCAAGGCCCTTCGCCTACCCCACACACACCTTCGGCCCAGACAGGAAGGCACTGGGGCCTGGCATCTACAGCAGTCCAGGGAGCTACGACCCCAGAGCTGTGGCTGTGAAGGAGGAGCCCCGGGGGCCAGAGGGCAGCCGCGGTGCCAGCCGAGGCAGCTACAACCCCCTGCAGTACCAGGTGGCACACTGTGGGCAGACGGCCATGCACCTGCCCCCAACCCTGGCAGCACCCGGCCAGCCCCTTCGCGTCCTCAAGGTAAGATCAAGTCAGTTCGCTCTGCACCAGGTGCTGGAGTGAGGCTGGTGTGGAGGGGGACTCTGAGGTCCTCTTATACTGACAAGTCTGGCTCTGGTGTTGCTCTGTGAAACTGACCCTCCCAGGTCCTCTATGCTCATTGCCTACCATGAGCCACCCCTCCCTCTGTGAATGTCCACCCTGAATGTCACCATGTCCCAGAGGCCCTGTGGCAAGCTGACCCTACCAGCTTCCCTGCTGCCCACTATGTCCTCCTCTTGTCACTTGCTTCTGGAAGAAGAGATGCCTGCTGATTGTAGAACAGGAGATCTGCCACAGATGGCAGAGGGAAAGTGTCCTTGCATGAAGGACCCTTGATGACTGCCTTGACCTGGGTGATGGGTGCTGTCCTGCGGTCCCAAGTGCCTGGCTTCTGGGACTCCCGCCCAACCTCCATTCTGCCTCCAGCTGGGCCTTTACCTCTGTCCCTCTGTGCCTTCCCCTCCAGGCACCTCTGACCACTTCTGGGCCCTGCAGTCCCCTTCTCAAGGCACCCTCCCCAGCTGGCCCCTCACACAAAGGGAAGAAGGCAGTGAATAAAGACAGCCTTGAGTACCGGCTGCGGCGGGAACGCAACAACATTGCTGTGCGAAAGAGCCGGGACAAGGCCAAGCGGCGCATTCTGGAGACACAGCAGAAGGTGCTGGAATACATGGCTGAGAATGAGCGTCTGCGCAGCCGCGTGGAGCAGCTCACCCAGGAGCTGGATACCCTCCGCAACCTCTTCCGTCAGATCCCTGAGGCCGCTAACCTCATCAAGGGCGTTGGGGGCTGCAGCTGAGCCTGGCTGATGGACTGTGGGCCCCAGGCCCCTAGCCTGACCCTGGAGATCCCCACCTCCTCGGGCCCTAGAGCCCCTCAGACAAGCCTGAGACAGACTATGGATGAGGGTGGGTGGCTTGGTGGTTAGAGAGGGCAGGATCCAAAAGATTCTGTGGCTGAATAAATTGCACTGTGATTTGGTGCTGGGACTGTGTGCTGGTCTAGGTTGTGGGATTTAGGCATGTGTGTGCGTGTGGCAGGGGGGAGAAAACACCTTGGGGACCAGATGAATATGTGGGAATATGCATTTACAGCCCATAACCTCCCCCCAACATACCACACAGCCAGGCCCCGTGTGTCACTCTGCTCTCTCCTCCTCACACACACTCTGTCCTTGCTAGCTAAGATACTCCCCTTGCCTCTTACCCCCACAGGACCCGAGACAGCCTCTGAATATCCTCCTGAGAGTCTGTCCTTTTAGGGCAATCCGAGTACCCACTCCAGGCTGTTCTCTCACCATAGAGTATAGGTCTGAGAGCTCCTGGCTCAGTTGTCTCTGTGAAAATTCCTGTTTTGCATTTTTTCTTTTGAAACAAGGTCTCCCTGTATATTACAGCTGTCTTTGAACTTACTTTATAGGGCAGGCTGGCCTCAAACTCAGGCGATTAGTCAGGTGTGGTGGCACATGCCTGTAATCCCAGCACTCAGGAGGCTGAGGCAGGAGGACCACTGTTAGTTCGGGCTTGCCTGGGTTACAAAAATGAACTCGAGCCAGCCTAAACTGTATAGTAAAACCCTGTCTCAAAAAGACCAAAAAAACCCAAACCTCAGGCAATCCTCCTGCCTCAACCTCTACCTTACAGGCCTTTGTCATCACAGCTGGCTACCTCTGCCATATTTACAGTCCCTCAAGCCTGGACCTAGCAATGTCTCTTCTTCCCAGATCCACAACCCCAGTCTACTAGACTAACCCACACACACACCTTTGCTCCCAACCACCTACTCCAAACTTTACTCTTCAGCCCGTCAGGCTCTTATTCCCTAAAATTTGAGATTCTGAGTGCTTGGAGAAGAATCAGTTGGGAAAGATCCTGAGCCTGACTTGTATGTGAGAACTTGGTTAAAAAGGAGGAGGACAGTGTGAAATGCCACACTAAGAGCATTTTCTATTTCATAGAACGTCAGCCTAGGAAGCAAAAGAGTACAATAACTAAGAGCTGCAGTCTGAGGCACCCTCTGCTATTCAATGACTTTGTGACCCAGCACCAGTTGCTTCTCCTTTCTGTGCCTCAGTTTCCTCCCCTGAAAAATGGGAGTGATTATAACACTCATCTTATAGTCATAGGAAAATCTATGCTGGGCAGGTGGTCAGCATGGGTATTTATGATTCCCATTTGCTTTAACTGGAACAACCTCAGAGATCTCACCTAAACTTCTCATTTTGCAGATGAGGAAACTGAGGCCTCAGGCAAGGCAGGGGCTTACTCAGAATCACTGACTGTTTAAAGGCAGAATCAAAATTAGCTCCATAAAATCACAGATCTCAAGAGGTGTTGGCAGAGACCTCAAGAGCTCTTCTGGTGAGTTCTACCCTCAGACAAGCAAGATAGTGGCAGCCACAGCTTATAGATAAAAGTGGTGAGGGCCAGAGGTGAGCAGAGGCGTCGCTGAAGCTCCCTCAGTGGCTTTGTGGCCTCAGCACCTGGTACCAAGTCTGTCTGTGCACGTGACTTCCCTCAAGGATACAGGGCGCAGGTGGAACAGGGAGCCACACTTCTGAGGTGAGCCTCAGTTGACTGACAGGTCAGACTCGGGACATAACAGGGATCCAGCTCCTCCTCAGCCCTGCTGGAAAGCCTAAGTTGAACATTAAGCAATTACTTTGAAAGGGAGTGAGACTGTTTGTTAGTTTGTTCGTTTGTTTGAGGCAAGGTCTTGCTATGTACCCCAGGCTGATCTCAAACTCACTTTTGTAGCCCAGGTGAGCCTCAGACTCACAGTGATCCTCCTGCCTCAGCTTCCTGTGTCCTGGGATTCCAGGAGTATGCACCATGCACAGCTGGGAGACTTGTATCTAGATCATCCCAGTTCTCTCTCTCTCTCTCTCTCTCTCTCTCTCTCTCTCTCTCTCTCTCTCCCTTCTCCTCCCCTCTACCCCCACCCCCAAGTCCTATGTACCAGATCTTCCTTAGGTAGGACTCAGTCCCTGCCCAGCTTCTGTCTCCCTTCTCAGGCACCAGGTCTCCTACTTTTGTGTCCTAAAGCCCCTGCCCCAGATCTTGTTTGAGCAAAGAGATCCAAAGTTTGGAAATCTGGTGCAAGGACTGACAGGAGCAGTCTGAGTTTGGGTGGAGAGACATCTCAGGGGCGCCTGGGAGAATCCTCTCACCTTCTCTTTGGCCTAGGGTGATGCATTGCATAAGGGGGTTTGTACAGAACTCGGTGAGTGACTCAACCTCCGGATTTCCTCCTCTTGGCTCGACCACTGTCCCCTGACTTCTTGTCAAGGTACTGGATGGTGGGACCTGGGTTGCTTCAGCATTGACCCCCCAGCTTCTTTCCCATAGCTCAAAACCGTGTCTCCTCCCAGCCATCCCACCCACCTGCACCTCCTGGGGCACAAATCTGCAGAGCCGCATCCCCACTTCCCCTGCAAGATCTCTGCAACAACTTTGCAGAGATCAGCAGAGGGCAGAGGACAGCAGTGCCTCCCACCCCGCCCTGCCCCACCACATCCCAGGAGTCAGGAGGCCCACCGCCCAGAGGGGCTTTCAGGCTCGCCTCTGCTGCTCTAGGCCAAAGCAATTAATTCAACAAGTCTTTGTTAAGCATCTTTTCTGTGAGTGAGACAAGTTCTCAACTGAATGAGTAGAAACAAGTGTACTTTTATGTCTTCTCTGGTCTCTCCAGCTTTCCCATTACCCCTTCTCACCCTATTCCACTTCCTGACACAGCTCCCGCACTGCCCCACTCCAATAGCTTTCCCTAGGTCCTGTTCTTCCTCACCTTTATTTCAGCACTCAGGAGGCTGAGACAGGAGGATTGCCATGACTTCAAGGCCAGCCTGGACTACATAATGAGTTTGAGCTGCGTAACAAGACCTTGCCTCAAAAGTAAATAAATGATACAGTATTCTATCCCATTCTTACTGGGAAAGCTATTTAGCTGGAGAGTTAACAAAGGCCTTTCAGAGGAAGTGACGTTTAAGTTAAAAGCTAAAAATTCTCAGGAAGGAGGCAGATGCACTGTTGGGGGGAAGAGCAAGCAGAAGGAACTACAAGTGCAAAAGGTGTCCGGTGAGCAAGGGGAAGAAGCTAAGTGTGGTTGCTGAATGGGAAAAGACCAGAGAGGAAGGAGAAAGGCCTCTGTGGCTGCAGAAAGGAGTTGCAAATGACTTGTATGTGTGCTCCCTCTGCCCAGGACTGACCTCAAGAAGCTAGGGCAGGTGGAGAGCAGGCTCATCTTTGCCCCTGAACTGGCTTCCTGGATCTGTCCTGGGGAAACAAGATGACAGAAAAGAGCTCAGGCAAGGACAGCAGCCAGACTCCTGTCTGGAGGAAGGATCCAGGACTAGGGGCTGGGAACCTTTGAAAACCAGCAAATCAAGGCCCTCAACAGTATATTTGAAATCCTATTGCTTTAGAAAACAGTGAGGCCCACTCTTCTTTCCTGACCATAACTGGAGACCAGGTGCCAGCCTTGAGCTGAGACAAGATCTCCTCCCAGGAAAGTTGCAAGGAAGGGGGTAGTGGGGCTATGGCGCTGCGTGGAGAGGGAGGAAGCTGCCCAAGGTGAGTCTGCCAAGGTCAGTCAGCTGCCGCCAGCACAGCTTGTGAAAGCTTCAGCCCTCATGCACACCTCCCACCTCCCACCTCCCACCACGTTGCCACACACTCAGGCCCCTAGGGCCCCCATCCCAATGTTGCAAGATCCTGGTCAGGGCTGTGGGTGGAAGGGGGCCTCTTCACCTCTACCACCAGCCCAGCTCTAGGCCGGTGAGGGGACTCTGGGATGGAGGTGTGGGAGATGCCAGGGCTGAGGACCCTGCCTGCCTCTGTGAATTCTCACCAGCCCCCAGCAGACAGACACCTCCATCCTGGACACAGCCTGGGCTGATCAAGGTGAGAGTGATCTAACCTGCACAGGACTTCCGGTGGCCTCTGTCAGCTGCTCCCAGAAGTAGGCCTACCCTGGCCTCAGAAGACCTCAGTGGCCCATGACAAATCCTCCCCATGGGAAGAAAGGGTAGGTGTATTCAAAGGAAAGGCTGTAAACTGACTTCCCGGAGCAGTGAAAGAGCCCTTAGACCAGATAGCGAGAAAAGACTCTCCCACTTATATGGCTAGAGCCTTCCACTGCTCTTTCAGGATGAAGTGGGGCTCAGATGTAGAAGCAATCCCTGTGTGCAGCGGAGCCAGGCCCACACTCTGAAGCTAAGATTCACCCTGAAAACCCAAAGTGTCCACGCCCCGACACCCCCACACCTAGTGTCCTGTCACCATGGGCCAGGCCATCCAACCCTGCTGCAATTGGGACGGTTTGCAAAATGCTTGCTAGCTCCCCCTTTGTCACCATCTGAGGTTAGGACTGTACTTGGGAGATAAGCTTGGGCCCCACCCGCCAGTCCCACAGACTGCTGGTCTGCTGCAATCGGGATGGTTTGCAAAACCCCTGCCGACTCCAGCTCTGTCACCATCTGAGGTTAGGGCTGCACTCCAAGATAAAGACCAGCCCCGCCCACGGCCCAGCCTTCAAACATCACAGGCAGCCTGGCCCTAGGGGACAGAGCTTCTGGAAGCCCACCCACGTGGGTCAGGCCCGCTTCCCTTCACCCAGGGGCTCCTCTGGAGCCACATTCATTCATTCATTTGCTGAAAGGCAATTATTAAGTACCTAATCCACCCAGATGCTCTTCCTGTGGAAACTAAGGGGGGAACAAGGAAAATGGTCCCTGCCCCTGTGGAGTTCACAAATTAGTAATGAGAACAGACAAACACAAGGTACAAACCAATGTGTAAT